AATGGAAGCCTGAAGTCAAACTTTGCTCCAATTCTATGCTCATTTTTGCCAAATTACTTCCCACCTATGCAAACACATTTTTTTCCCAACACTTTTCTTTAGTTCTAAGCAGATATTGCCCATCATGTCATCCCAGTTCCTCAAAGCAAGGGGGTAAAGTTAACACAGCAGCAAACTCTGCTGGCCTACAACATGAAAGGCATCAATTAGCTGGCAAGCCAAATGACTCAGAGCCTTTTTGCATCTCAGTCCTCTTCCTCTAATGGGCTGGACTCTCTTCATTTCTCCAAAAGTGCTTCCCTTCCCTCCTTTAATCCTTCTAGCGAACTCTTCTAAATGTGGTTTCCCTGAGCTCTGAGCCTTAGCTTATTGGCTTAGTTCTTACTTAACTCATATCTCTAGCCTTGTCATGACTTAGTCTTACTAAGGTTGTGCCAAACAAATCTAAAGCTTTATGGATATTTGAATAAAGGGTAAACACATGCTGAGTTTTTCAAGGTGCTACTTATTAATGTAATACTCGGGTGAACAGAGTTTTACAAGTGCTTTCAAGCTTATGAAGATACGTTCCCAAGAAGACAAAACTACTGTATAACATATGCAAGTAAACTGAGGCCCTTCTTAATCATAATGCAACATATCAGGCATAAGAAAATGAAACAGAAGAAAGGGAGCTGAAAAGAAAGACCATGTCATGCTTCAGGTGGGACTCTACTTAGAAAACATTGATCAGAGTCTAGAAATCAGCTTTAGTTTTTATGGCCTGAAATATTCCAGAAAGCATGTAAAAGCTGAGGATTCAAAGTATAATTTTCTGGGTTCCGGTTATGGCTCCACAACTCAATAGCTCCCTGTGCTTCTGGGTTTTTCTTCTGTACATAGGGAAAATAGTGCAACCTGTCACTATCTGCTTTGGTCACCAATACCTCTAGCGACTAAATAGGACTAGGCACATAGTAAATATTCAATAAATATGAAAAATGAGGTATTCCTCATTAGATAAAGTTAGGGTAGATTTTGTCAGTGCTAAGAACAACACCTGATTGACAAGAAACACTATACAATTTAGCTACTTACTATTGTTTTTATTAATGTTATTATTATCTTCCTTTATTAAGTTTAGGAAAATTTCCTTTGAAATCATCTATTCCTTTTCTTATTATTAAAGCTTTGACAAGAAAAATGTTGATCTTCTGAGTTTATTTATCAGTGTAAAAATTAATTATTAGGGGTGTGAACAAATAGTAGATATTAAAGTGGTTTATGACCCTTCGAAGCTCACCTCTAACAAAACCTTATCTCTTAATATTTATGTTCTTTCATTGGGTTTTCTTGTGTATCTCATGAAGATCATTGACACTAGGGGAGAACTTGATACCACTGTACTTCTCCATTCTCCAGAGAGAATATTGTGCTGTCACAAATTTGCCTGTCTTGCATACAACATCTTGTGTGTGGTGTATCTACCACAACTGTCAATTAAGGTTGAATTCACCAAAATACCTACTGGACCAAGAATGATTACTTCTCTTCAAGCCCATTCCCAATTGCTACATTTGATCTACATCCTTTCTATAATTTTGCTTCTACTCCTTCCCATCCTTTAATGACTATCTTGCCTGAGCTGAATGTAGCTAAGTTAGACTTTGTCATTTTGTTTCTCCAGTGGGATATTGCTGCCATTCTTACATTTTCATCATATTTACTTATACATTTGTTTTCTTTTTGTCCCCATTGATTGGGATGCAAAAAGCAACAACTTGCTTTGTCTAAAAAAGGAAATGAGTTCATCCCAGGGATACAAGCCTGGTTCAACATAAGCAAATCCATAAATGTAAGCCATCACATAAACAGAACCAAAAACAAAAGCCACATGATTATCTCAATAAATGCAGAGAAGGCCTTTGATAAAATTCAAGAGCGCTTCATGCTAAAAACTCTCAATAAACTAGGTATTGATGAAACGTACCATAAAATGATAAAAGCTATATATGACACACCTACAGCCAATATCATACTGAACAGGCAAAAGCTGGAAGAATTCCCTTTGAAATCAGGCACTAGACAAGGATGCCCTCTCTCACCACTCCTATTCAACATAGTACTGGAAGTTCTAGCCAGAGCAATCAGGCAAGAAAAAGAAATAAAGGGTATTCAAATAGGAAAAGAGGAAGTCAAACTGTCTCTATCTGCAGATGACATGATTGTATATCTAGAAAACCACATTGTCTCAGCCCCAAAATCTTCTCAAACTGATAAGCAACTTCAGCAAAGTCTCAGGATACAAAATCAATGTGCAAAAATCACAAGCACTCCTATATACCAATAACAGACAAATAGAGAGCCAAATCAAGAGTGAACTCCCATTCACAGTTGCTACAAAGAGAATAAAATACCTAAGAATACAACTAACAAAAGATGTAAAAGACCTCTTCAAGAAGAACTACAAACCACTGCTCAAGGAAATAAGAGAGGACACAAACAGATGGAGAAACATTCCATGCTCATTGCTAGCAAGAATCAATATTGTGAAAATGGCCATACTGCCCAAAGTAATCTATAGATTCAGTGATATCCCCATCAAGCTACCAATGACTTATTCACAGAACTGGAAAAAACCACTTTAAATTTCATATGGAATCACAAAAGACCCCACATAGCCAAGATAATCCTAAGCAAAAAGAACAAAGCCGGAGGCATCACACTGCCAGACTTCAAACTGTACTACAAGGCTACAGTAATCAAAACAGCATGGTACTGGTACCAAAACAGAGACATAGACCAATGGAACAGAACAGAGACCCCAGAAGAAACACCACACATCTACAACCATCTGATCTTTGACAAACCCAGCAAAAACAAGCAATGGGGAAAGGACTCCATGTTTAATAAATGGTGTTGGGAAAACTGGCTAGCAATGTGCAGAAAGCAGAAACTGGACCCCTACCTGTCACCTTATACTAAAATTAACTCCAGATGGATCAAAGATTTAAACATAAAACCTAACATCATAAAAACACTAGAAGTACACGTAGGCACAACCATCCAGGACATAGGTATAGGCAAGGACTTCATGACTAAAACACCAAAAGCAATGGCAATAAAAGCCGGGATAGACAAATGGGATCTAATTAAACTCCAGAGCTTCTGTACAGCAAAAGAAACCATCATTAGAGTGAACTGGCAACCAACAGAATGGGAAAAAATTTTTGCAATCTACCCATCAGAAAAAGAGCTAATATCTAGAATCTACAAAGAACTAAAACAGATATACAAGAAAAAACAAGCCCATTCAAAAGTGGGTAAAGGATATAAACAAACACTTCAAAAGAGGACATATATGAGGCCAGCAAACATATGAAAAAATGCTCATCATCACTGGTAATTAGAGAAATGCAAATCAAAACCACACTGAGATATCATCTCACGCCAGTTAAAATGGCAGTCATTAAAAAATCGGGAGACAACAGATGCTGGAGAGGATGTGGAGAAATAGGAACACTCTTACACAGTTGGTGGGAGTGTAAATTGGTTCAACCATTGTGGAAGACAGTGTGGCGATTTCTCAAGGATCTAGAAATAGAAATTCTATTTGACCCAGCAATCCCACTATTGGGTATATAACCAAAGAACTATAAATTGTTCTACTATAAAGACACATGCATACATATGTTCATTGTAGCCCTGTGTATAATAGCAAAGATCTGGAACCAACCCAAATGCTCATCAATGATAGACTGGACAAAGAATATGTGGTACATATACACCATAGAATATTATGCAGCCATAAAAAACAATGAGTTCATGTCCTTTGTAGGGACTTGGATGAATCTGAAAACCATCATTCTCAGCAAACTGACCCAAGAACAGAAAGCCAAGCAGCATATGTTCTCACTCATAGCGGGGTGTTGAACAAGGAGAACACGTGGACTCAGGGAGAGGAGCATCACACACAGGGGACAGTTGAGGGGGGGAGTAGGGGAGAGACAATGGGGGGTGGGGGGAAGTGAGGGTGGGGAGGGATAACATGGGGAGAAATGCCAGATATAGTATGCACCTAAAGTAAAATAAATTAATTTTTTAAAAAAAGGAAATGAGAAAGAAAGATACATGGTGTCTTACATATTATGTAAAACAACTGTACTGTCCATTTATACTATTTACATATCATTATTGATATTTAGAAAAAGATGGGGTTTTTTTAAGAATCAGTTAGGACTGGAATGTCTCAATGGAAATTTGAGACTTTAATGCCAGTAATTTTTTTTTTTAATCAGTTGAGGTTTTCCCAATTGTGTACTGTCATTGAGGATGATACTGCTCCCAAAGATGCAAAAATTAATTGTTGGGATTGCAAAAAAGTCATAGATTTTACAATGGCTTATGATACTTCAAAGCTTATTTCTAGCAAATCATTACACTTTCATATTTATTTTCTTTCATTTGAGTTTTCTTGTGTATCACACTAACAGCACTGACATTGAGTTTATAGAAGACACACAAAATGAATACAAGATCAGGGCTACCAATGTATGTGGAACAGACCGATGCCATTAGTGGACTTTCTCTCCATTGTTTTCCAATCCCAAAGTTATGCCAGGATATGTGTCCTTTATTGGCATATGGGTTGCTATTGGCTGTTTTGCTGATGTGGCTTATGTTTGATCCTCAGTGCTTCTGAATGTGTGATAGGCTTTGAGAATAAAACACAATTATTGAATTCTGCTAAAGTTATTCAATACATCAATACCATGTCAAGTACTGAAAATGTTTATGCCTAGATGAATATCTAGCAGCCAGTCAAGTTTTAAATTATTTTCTGTACAAAGCAAAATTAAAAGTTACAAACACTGTAAATAAGTACTGAGAAAATAATTTAATTATAAATAATTTTAGCAGTTTTGAAATATTTTATTCTATTGGTATTATGTATCTTTATAGATTACAATTTTGTATGTATAACTTGTTCAATAATATTTTATATCAGTAAATTAATTCTACTTAATGTCACTCAGCAAATTGAATTTTATGGATTCAAGTTAAATGTCAGTAGCTTTAAACTTCAACTTTTAGCTTAAATTTTTTATTTAGTCATTCATAACTCTTCATTAAATAAACCATATTTTCCACTTTTTCAAATGTAAAAAGTACAGATATAAATGCAATATATAAATAAATATGCAGTATATATGTGTTATCATGAGGGAATCAATTAGGAAAAATTATCTAACAGAGCTCTGGAGGCAAGGAAAGGAAAGGCAATAATCAAAGAAAACATGATTGAGAAATGCTGATATAAGCCCACATAGAGAGTGCATAAAGAAAGCAAAAGAGAACATGAAAGTTAAATAGAGGGGCATTCAGACAATTGAAACTAGTATGTGCCCTACTTAAGGCTATGCACAAAGTTGCTCTTCAGAGAACCTAGAGCCTAGGGTTCAGAGTCACCCATCTTAAGAAGCCCAGCAGCATCTGTAACATCTACGATGGCCTTGCCCTTTACTTTACTGATGGCCCTAGTGCTATGCAGCTGTTTTCTGGGCTGTGATCTGCCTCAGACCCACATCCTGGATAACAGGAGGACCACAGTCCTCCTGGCTCAAATGAGGAGAATCTCTCCTTTCTCCTGTCTGAAGGACAGACATGACTTTGAATTTCCCCAGGAGGAGTTTGATGACAAACCGTTCCAAAAGGCTCAAGCCAACTCTGTCCATGAGATGATCCAGCAGATCTTCAACCTCTTTAGCACAAAGGACTCATCTGCTCCTTGGGATGAGACCCTGCTGCTTGGGATGAGACTACTGAACTCTAGTTATGAATGACTAAATAAAAACTTTAATTTAGACAAATTCTACACTGAACTCTACCAGCAGCTGAATGATCTGGAAGCCTGTGTGATGCAGGAGGTGGAGATAGAAGAGACTTTCCTAATGAATGAGGATTCCATACTGACTGTAAGGAAATACTTCCAAAGAATCATTCTCTATCTCACAGAAAAGAAATACAGCCCTTGTGCCTGAGAGGTTGTCAGAACAGAAATCATGAGATTCTTCTCTTAACAAAAAACTTGTGAGGAAGATTGAGGAGGAAGAAAAGATTCTTATTTACGTTACAACAGAACATGAACTGAATCAAATATGTCTAATGTTTTCATGAGTATTAAACAATATCCTGTTCAGCTACACAGGTTCTAATGCCTTACAGATGACCATGTAGATGTATTGATTTATTTAACTATTTATACAACTTAAATTATTCTTGCTCACATAGCATGCGCACCTTTATATTGTGAATTATATAACAGAGACATGGTTTTTATATTTATTTATTTTACCTTGTTTAATAAATTTTTACTATAGAAAACTTCCTGTATTTGTTTAGTCTTTAAAATGAAACCCTAAGCCTTATTATGCAACCTGATTAAAGTATAGTTAGCGCAAGTCATTTACTCATCACTATTGTATTCAAGTTATAAGTAAAAATGGACTTTTTCTAAGCCAGGTTGTATGCTGCCCTCAGGATATCTAGGTAAACATGACAAATACAGTTTTTACTTTCTGTGCCTTTGATTTTTGTAGAAAAAAATCCCTACAAATAGTAATTTTACTTACTATCAATTATGTTAAATAGTATAATGAAAAGAAGGATCGATGAATTTCTTTCAGCAGAAAGTAGTCTAAGATATGGAAGGAAATAAAAACTAATGCAGTTATCCTTTATAAGTTAACAGGTAAACACCTATGTGACATCAAATGTGCACTGTCAATTGATTGTATGAATTTGCAATTTGCAAGAAATGCAATTGCTGGAGATTCATATGTGGTAACTGAAAACCCAGAAATGGAGGTGCTCATGTGAGGAGAAGCATATAAAGGGAGAAAGGGACTTAACTTTTGTTCTGAGAACCTTCAACCCTTTAAGGAAGGGGAGAGAAGAGCTGCAATGAAAACAGAGGTGGAATGGCCGTATGAGACAATGGCCATGACAGAGAAAAGGTGATGAAGCATATTTTTAAAAATAAACATGCTTAGAACAGAAGTCACTGGATTCACAAAGGGTGTAGATTGAAACTGCCCACTACATTGGTAAAATAGATGGCACTGGGAACTGTAGTGACAGCTGTTTTGGTGGAAATAATCAGCAGAGACCATATTGGAGTAGGTGGAAGTGTCAACAAGAGGAGGCAGCGAGAGAAAAAGGAATTAGGATGAAATCTGGAAAAAAAAAAAAAATGGAGGCTATTTTTTCTGTGCATAGATTTTCCTTCTCTGCAATATTTTTTTTTCCAGGATAGATTTCATAGAATTGATGTAGTCACAAATTAAATGAATATGCTATATATATTTATTGTGAATCATGGCATTTAATAATTTATAATTATAATTGATCATTATTTTAATTAATACAACCTTGACTATCAAAGATACTTTGTTAATTTGTTAGGCTAGAATAGATAACTAATTCAATGAAAATATTAAATTCATACTGTTAATATAATGGTTACTGGAATTATTGACTTCATTAATTAAGTTACATCATTCATTTACTAGTTTTACTGCTGCCCTCTAGTAGGTGTAGATATGATAAGAATTCTTTTATATTGGTAATTGGTAATTTTACCAGATTTTATGAACACTGGAGTCTTATATTGATCCAAAATAACCGAATTATTATAAACATACTGATAAACTTCCTTCACAAAAGAAATTGTATCAAATAATCTCTTTCACAATATACGGTAAAGAAAAAAATTGGTCAGAACCAGCTGAAAATACAACATGTACCATATAAATTCAGAGAGTAAGAAAAAGTTCTGTGTAATTCATGAGTAAAAGGAAATTTAACAATTTTCACAGAGATTCCAAATACAAAACTGACAAAATCACCTGTAATTTACATTAAAGAATTTGACATTAAAATTTTATTCTGCTTGGACATATGTGCAATGTTGATCAAGGAACCTAATCTCTTTGAACCTTAGTTTTCTCATAAATAGAATCAGTTCAAAATATTTAGATACTTAAGAATATTAAAGGAACCCATGCAGTTTAAAGTACCTACCATAGTACCTCCCATTGAGTAAAGAGTTAAAATATGGTAGGTATTTCCCTATTTTCTTCACTCAGCTGTAGGTGAGAATATTATTTGTGTTTCTGTAAAATTCTTAGGAACTATGTCCTATTTTCAGTAACTGACCTCCTGGCCTAAAAAACTAGATTTTGTCATCATCTGTAGAGAGGCTGAAAAATGGTCACTCCTCATTTCAAATAAATGTCCTATTGATATGCAGTGAGGGAATGGTGGCTTGTAACAATACTTGAGACAGGAGAACAAACGTGTAGATTGAAGTATAGAAGACACATGATGTTTACTTACTGATTCTCATGCCTGACACATTCTCTCCCTGGCTCTTAGCATTCCAGGATTCACTCCCATAACACCAGCATTTCCTTCATCTCTGGGGTTGATTCCGCATGGGACCCTGGTCATTCATTCCTTCAACTTCCTTCCCATTCGGACAGCTGCTTTCTGCTCTGTTGTGCTTTTGATCTCGTAAATTCCCAAATGAGCAAAATGACACAAGTGCTAAGCAGAAATGAAATAAAATTTCTACGTTTCAGAAAGATCAACAAGAGAGGTTTTCCTGAACATCCATTGACTATGATGTAATACTAACTTAGGGAAACGGAAAGAGAAACAATAATCCAGTTTATGTTTGGGCTCCTGGAAACCTCTAAAGGGAAGACAGCCAAAGCTGACAAGGGTAGCCACCAAGACTGGAGGGCCAATATCTGATTTATGCTGAAAACCGATCACTTCTAGGGATTTATCTTTATGCTGCAAAAAAAGGCTACTTTTTGGCAAGAACAGATTCTAATGTTGTCATAAGCCTGTTTTCTTACCCTGTTACTTTCCTTACAAAGACAGTCACTCTCCAGTTTCAGGCAGGGCAGGACTCCTTAGTATTGGTAGTTACAGAAACAGAGAGAGTTGTACCCCTGCCTAGAGCCTACTGTGCAAAGCAGTCTACCCTCCTTAGAATCACCCCTTCCACATACTTTGGGACTCCAAGGGATAGGCAGAGCTGCCAGTCTTGGCATGGAACTCAATGGTCATCATAAAAAAAAACCTCATGTAAATAGGGTGCATTAAACTCTCCACAGTACAATCTTAGTTTCACAGATTCTTCCCTAATATCAGACTTTGAATATTAACATATAGAAGAATATTTCCAGTGTCACTTTGAATAATAATTTTGACATCTCTTTCACTTAATAGTAAAAGCACTGCCTAGGTAGCAAAAAAGAGAAGTTTCAGAAAAGCTGAGGAAAGTTAAAGAATCGTATCATTTTACCTGAGCGCTAGAGTGACTTATTTATTCAAATATATCAAATTTGGTATTATTTTAGAGGCATTCCTATGTTAGGCACCATATTTTCATGAAGATATTTCACCAGGAAGTGTAGGAATTGCTGAGGTAGCAGGGAGGGAAGCGCTGCAACTGTAGAGGGGACTCTTGAATCCTTTCCTTAGGCTGTACACTCAACATTTGGATTTGCTGCTTTCAAACTAGGAATTGCCCAGGGCCTTGGAAAAAGTTCAACACATTTTGTCCTTTGTAGTCTTATTCTGTCCTCCAGAGAGGAGGATGAAGAAATTTAGGAGGTGGACATGGCATAGCTTCCCAGCCTGTATATTTGAGGCTTCTCCAGAGAACAGAACAAAGAGGATGTAGAGAGAGAGATTTATTTTAAGAAACTGGCTCACATAATTGTGCAATCTTGGCAGATTCAAATCTGTAAGGTAGTCTGGCAGGCCAGAGACCCTGGTCAAAGTGGCAATTGGAGTCCAAAGGTAGTCTGCTGGCAGAATGTCCTCTTCGGAAGAGGAGGTATATCTTTCCCTATTAAGGCCCTCAACTGATTGGGGGAAGTCTAACCACATTATGGAGGATAGTTTGCTTAACTCAAAGTCTACTAATTTAAATGTGAATCTGATCTAAACCATACCTTTCCAGAAACACCTTGAAGAATGTTTAGCCAAACATCTGGGTACCCTGGCCTAGGCAAGTTGACACATAAAATTAACCAGCACATTGCCCCCCCTTCTAATTAATGTCCTAACACTTTTCAAATATTATTCCCCTTCCATTCTTTGATGCTGGTTTGTGTGTTTTACGTATTTCACATAATTTTCTTACATTTTTTGTTTCTAGGTAAGTAAATCCTAAGATTCGGCTCCATTCCATCAACTTACTAGGATAAGTCTCTGTAGCCATGTTCTGTTTAATAGAAAGAAGCTAGAAATATTTGTACATTAAAATAACCACCGTATTTTTTGTAGTTTAGCTATTTTTCATTGAGCTTACAATTATAATCCAGGCCACCTCTTCTTTATTTAAAAATCTAATCTTATGGTCAAGTCTCCATTCCACCAAGATTTTGCTATTATCTATGGTATAGAATGAGATTTTACATTGATTTCTGCCTTTATTCCCAATTCATCATTTTAGAACCATTTACTAAAAACTGCTTTCTGCCATATTAACATCATATATGTGTGTATATATATATATATATATATATATATATATATATGATTCCAAACTCAATTACTGAGCACAGAGACTTCCCTCCTTCCTTCTTTTCTTTCTTTCCTTCCTTCCTTCCCTCCCTCCCTACTTCCTCCCTCCCTCCTTTCTTTCTTCCTTTCTTTCTTTCATAAACTTTTCTCCTTCTTTCATAAACCTAGCTCTGTCTTTGTAATAGCATAAAGATTTCAAATATTATGACCTCTTTTATTCTTTTGTTGATTTTTTTTCCATTATCTTTTCAGAGTGCAAAGTTTTTATGACTTGGCTCTGTACTGTCACCTTGTCCTAGAAATCTCGATAGCCATACCTTGTTTTATATCTTGGAGTTATTAGTTCATTATATATTCTAGCATGTTGGGGAACTGAGCAGCAGATCTAGACTGAGCTGTGCAGGGGTGTGGTAGGTGGCACAGTGCTGCCTGCCCCACCCACATCCCACTGTGGACTTGATTTTACTTCCCCTGCCCTCAACCCAGCCCAGGCACATCTAGCAGATCTAGGGGGATGCAGAGAGTAGAGATTAGTGCCCCC